AAAAAATAAAATCCAACCTTGTACTACAACCTCACTTTACCCAGGTTTAACCTCTAAATTGAAATAAATCTGAACTTGTCTACCTTTTACAGATTTCTAGAATTTCATATATCATCCATGAGTTTTCAAAAGGTAATTATTAACAGGTTTAACGTTGCTTCATTTTAAAGTTTTTCAAAAGGCTTTTACTCAAGTGATTAGAAAACTCAGGTCTTTTGACAGCTGTTGTTTTGTTTTATGCATTTCAGTATTACTCAAAAAATTACCAACTGATTTGAAACTTCTTTGGTTTAGACACAAACTAATGCTGTTGGCAGAAATTCCAGTTTTAATGACATTCACTTTCTTGAATTCTGTTCAATATATTTTGCTGGTTTGCATTTCTCTAACAATAAACCATTATTTCCCATTCCCAAGTATCAATTCGTTAACAGAAATACCACAAGAGTGTCTCATACTTGGAAATTCAGACTGCATTTTTCAGTATTAAACGTTATAACTCTGTCCTGGGTTCAGCAGTAGCAGTCATTCTTTCTCCTTAGTAGCTGGTGCAGTGCTGTGTTTTTGACTTTCGGCCTGGGAACAGGTGATTACACTGATGTTTTTAGTTGCTGCTCAGTAATGTTTACTCTGACTTTCTGAGTCTCATGCTCTGCCAGGGAGGAAGGGAAGCTAGGAGGAAGCAGAAACAGAACACCTGACCCAAACTAATCAAAGAGGTATTCCATACCACAGCACGTTATTCCCACTATATAAACTAGGGCCAGTTAGCAGGAAGGGTTAGATCACTGCTCGGTCAGGCTGGGTATCAGCTGGAGGGTGATTAGTGGTTGCATTCACTTCCCTTGTTATTTCCCTTATCATTATTATTATTGGTGGCAGCAGTAGTGGTTTTTTGTTATACCTCATTTAATGGACTGTTCTTACCTCAACCCATGGGAGTTACATTTTTTCAGTTCTCTTCCCCAACCCTATGGGAGCGGGGGGAGGAAGGGGGGAGAGTGAGAGTGCAGCTGCGTGGTTCTGAGTTATGGCTGGCCTTAAACCACAACAAACTCTCAGAATACTGTAAGTCCTTCTGTACTCCTTTTCCCAGTAAACACCTGGTTTGATATATTTGTTGATAGTAAAGCCTTGCCTCTGGTTATTATTTTTACAAGACTCTGAACAGGATGGGAAGAAAAAGCCCTGTCCACTTGATTTTCTTGGTTTAGTGGTTTGTTTTTGATCTTGATCCAGAGCAATGCAAATCACAATAACAATACTCCTTCATGCTCTTTATAATTATACTGTTGCTCTCAGCAGATGTCTTCTACTGTATTATAGACTGAGCACCCCAGATTATTTCTAAGGAATCTCTCCCTATTCGTGTCCATCATCTATTCCTGAACAAGTTTCACCCTTAGATTTTAAAATTTGAATAATATTCTGCTCCGTGCCAGCCACATCAGTTTGTAAGTTTGTAATTTTCTGCTATAGATCACCAAGATGAAAGTCTTGTCTTCTAAATTCAAGTGAAATGCACTGTTACTGTATCAGTTGTCAAAAGTTCAAATGCAGCATTCTCAACTCATTGCATTCCTTCTCTATCATTATGCTTAGACCTTTAGTTATACAGATGTGTTTATAAACAAGAAAAGCTTTTCACATAAATTGAGATGTTGCTTAATTCATTTACAGAAAAGATGAGCAAGCTTTTCAGAACATCCCAATTTCTATTGTCCTCCTCAGTTGCCTGTTCTTTAATGTTTCTTGATCACCTTTTCTCACCTTCATAGTGCGCTATGTATGTTCCCCTTAAAGAGAATTTTTCTCCCTTGCCTTTGAATCACTTGGGTTTTTTTTCCTTCATTTTCTAGCATTACTGCCCATCTGCCATCACCCCACATCCATCTCACCCCCCAGATCTTTAATTCCCCGTAGTGTAAAGTTACATTAACTGCAAAGATGAGTATCCTGTTTTGTAGTAGTACAGGATAAAACAAAATGGAGGAAAACACACACATACACACACTAAACAACAAGATGTAAGAAATCTAGAAATAACATATGTGAAATATAGAATAGTTCAGCTGGAAGGGACCTACAACAGTCATCTAGTCCAACTGCCTGACCAATTCAAGGCCAACCAAGAGTAAACGCGTATTATTAACAGCATTGTCCAAATGCCTCTTAAATACTGACAGGCTTGGGGCATTGACCACCTCTCCAGGAAGTTTCCAGTGTCTTGGTAAAGAAATGCTTCCTAAGGTCAAGTCTGAACCTCCCTGATGCAGCTTTGTGCATTCCCATGAGTTCTACCACTGGATATCAGCGAAAAGTGCTCAGCACCTCCCTCTCCACTTCCTCTCCTCAGGAAGCTCTAGAGAACAGTGAGGTCATGCATCAGCCTCTTTCTCTCCAAACTAGACAAACTCAGCATCCTGAGCTGCTCACCATGCATTTCAGACTTTCACTAGCTTTATTGACCTTCTCCAGACACATTCAAGTACCTTAATATTCTTTTTAAATTGCAGGGTATGGAGCTGCATTTAATACACAAGGTGAGGCCACAACAATGCTAAATGCTGGTCCAAAGAAATTGTAATTTTATTTACGAATCAATGCTATCTGTACATTACCATAAAAATATCAAGAAAATGGCATCTTTTTCCTTCATTTGAATTAAAACACAGGGCTCAATACTGAAAACCAACGCATAACATTTTTATTTCTGAAGTAATTTTTTCCAGCTTTTACTTTGGCTTCTGTTCATAGATGCAACAGATTTTTGGTGTTTATACTCATTCACCCAAGACCAAAACAAATGTTAATTAAGAAAAAAACCTCAGAGCCCTGTTTATATCAACTTGATCAGCATAAAGCAGTAGTTGGCAATATAACTGCCACTATAATTTAAAGGCCAAAGCATCTAACTGTCCATATTTCTTTGTTTAGGAATTCTGTAACATTACAAACTTATTTAGAATTCATCTAGTCTGTTTTATTTAGCACAGAGATTAGAATATGTACTTGAAATTAAGTTACTGTTTGAGACAAATTAAAACCATGATGATGAACATACTGCATTTTCCCACTTTTCTTTCTTAAAGACAATTGATTATAACAGATCTGTAAATCTGAAAGGACTTAATTAGTATCCCGGGACAGTTTAGTGGTATTTAATTAACAAAGAGACCATAAATTACTTTAAGGAAAAAAAAAAAAACAAAGCTATCTAACCTCTCATTACATCCTGTTAGGTTTTGGTGTTTTTTTCATTTGGGGGGATAGGGGAGTTGAGAGAGGGGATGATTTTTCTTTTTTTTGATGGGAAATTCTAGTTAAAAGGAATATATTTTGTCACTTAAAATGATCACAAGAAGCAACACTTACCTTCAGACTAGCAAGAAAATTTTTCTACAGCCTCATTCCAAATATTTTTCTGTACAGCAGATGGAGCACATTTGGAAAAAAATAAAATCCTTAAAAGCCAAAAAAAAAAAAAATCCTCCTAACTTTTTTAATAAAGGAGAGTAAAATGTGGGTGATTAAAAGAGAAACAAAGGAGGATGAAATAAGAATGATATCTATCTTTGATTGAGGAATCCTTGGCCAGATGGAAGAAACAGATGTAAACACTCATGGTTTTCTGGCTGCGTTCATTTTAATGAATTTGAATTGTCTTCAACGGCACAGGATTCTTACAACACAGTTTCAAAATGTTACCTGAAACCATCATATTCAGCTTTAGCCCTAGGTTCACATCTGAATATCTGAATGTTTATCTTATCCCATGGCAGAATACCTCTTCCTCAGCTGAAGTAACTACTTCCTTTCAAAAGATTCCTCTCCTCCCACCCCTTGTCTCAAACAACACCAGTTTGCCATCGCACTGTAAGACAATTTATCTAACAAATTTATCTATCTAACAAATAAATCTACTTCTTTAAGATTGACAGTTTCTCACAGCTAAGAGTTTTTCCCATCCGTACTTCAAAGGCAAGAGATAATGTGGCCTTCCCAGCAGTGTGTCCTGATTCTGAATTCTTTGAATTATCCACAGAAGATGCTAATAAAGAGAGCTTGACAGTCTTAAATTAAAATTTCAATTTATTTACAGCAAATGCCACAAAAGAGAGGATTAGCTTTTTAAAACTGATTTTTTTTCTGTCTCTTCAAACAGCAACAGATTTCAAGAAAAAAAGATGTTGTAGCTTGCGTGACAGTTTATCAGCAGGATCAACCAGTGTCCTAACATGAAGGGTCAAGCCACCCAGAAAGAAATAAAAATGTAGGATGAGTATTTCCTGAAATAATTCTTCATGTTTTTAAAATAAACTAAATACTTGAGTCTCCTTATTCATTGTCAACTTTCCTTAAGGCAAAACAAATTTTAGAGTAAGGTAACGGAAACGTAGCAAATTGGTATGTTTTTGCTGGAAAGTCAGGAGTTAATTTTTAACTCATGGAACTCATCTGCAAAACAAGCCTTCAAACCTCTTTAGGTTTCAATTTCTAGCAGCTAAAACCAGAACTCCTTCTAGAATTCTCTCTGAAAAAAAAGCAGATACTGAAATTACAGACAAATATGGCATCTGTTTTCTACCTTAAGTAATGCCAGAAGCAGTGTTAGAATTTAGGTCTTCTGTTTCACCAAGCATACTAATACATCTCTCAAGTTACCATATTTTTCTTCAGAATTAAAAGCTTTAAATAAAATTAAAAGACATAGTTGTTCACAAGTGTTAAGGCACTGCAGAAAATGCAAATAGAGTGTGACTGATGCTACTGACAGCTATGAGCGCAAACACAGAATTCAGCAACTAAAGCATACTTATGGGAATACTTATACTAATAAATGTACATTATTTGCTATACGCTACCTTGCAGATAGAAATTGTTATAATTTAATTCTCTTAAGAAATATGAGTAGTAACACCTGTCCTCCCTCTCTTTGTACAAGTGAATACATCTGCACATAGAATACATCTGCACATAATCTAATGCTTTAGCCTTACCAGTGCTGTCATCATAAACAACAGTTACTGTTTTCCACTTGAAGAACTGCACAAGGTCAAGTATGGCACGGCTGAGTGAAGAGAAATCTGGATAGAGGCTGACATAGAAGGAGTCCTTGTTGTCTGACACCTGATGTTTCCAGCGGGTCTGGATATGTGGAACACCCAAAGCGTTGCAGATGGATTGCACGGCATTAGCTGAAGAGCTATGAGATGGTCCGAAGATGGCAGCCACCCCAAGGGACAGCTGATCGCAGGCTGAAGAGGAGACAGAAGTCTGTCAATGATGAGAGGAAAGAAAGCAATGTGCCAGAAGGTACTGCACATTTCATATAAAACAAAAGGCACTCCATGAAATGTAAGTGCACTGCTGACAGATCTCCCTTGTTGTGTTACCCTTTCACTTTACACAGATTTCAGTTTCAGAGTACATTTCTAAACTTTCACGAGTTGATGAATAACAACACTTAACATTAAAATAATGCTTGGCTACATTTAATAAACACCTCTTTGTCAGTGGAAGTCACAAAGGCCAGCAATTCTGCGTCTTCTAAAAGATACAAGAGATTCATGCTCAGCTGCATCTTACATTTGGAAAAGGTCCATATGGGAGAGTCTTCTTCAACCAATCAACACTATTTCTACTGAGATCTTAACTACTCTAGAAATTTTATGTGTTAAGTAGATTCCAGTTATTAGACAAATTATTACTTTCATTGAAATGGACATTTGAATTTCTGTATCTGAAAAGTAGGCATGTTGACAAGCAAAATTTAAAAGACAACATTTTCCTTAAAATTAAAAATTAAATTGCTATCTGCTAATGAAAAATAAATAAATAAATAAATAAATAAATAAACGCCCCTTCTGAAACACTGGTAACACTCATGTTTCCTATACCTGCATTAACAGATAAAACTGACCCTGAGATTCACTGACACGATACTGCTGCATTCAAGTAGCTTAGCTCTCCTGTTTCCAACGTAGGGTTGCCCTACCTATACAATGCATTAGTAGTCTCTGGCCATTTATTATGTCCCACAGTACGCTCGACTATATTTTGTAGAATATTAGTTGGGGCATGACAAAAAAAGAATGCAGGAAAATTAGTCATTAATGCAGGTCAGTGTTTCAGCCCATGCCCTTCTGTTTAGATAATTACCAGAGATATAACCTTTATGAGTATGCGGATCAGAAAAACATCAGATTCTGTCTTCAAAGAAAATACCCTATTTAGTAAACAGAAGTAATGAAAAGTATCCTCTTAATCCAACCTATGCAAATATTTGTATGAGGTTTGATTAACTGATACTGTTACTCTAACATCAGTGTTCCTGACAGCTGAGGAAATAAGCAGCAGAAACACATTTTGCCACATTAATTTTTCAGCAAATCAAAATTAGTTTATTGTTCACACCTTTTTCAACATGATGAAAATATTGCTAAGTCTTTCAAGTGCGTTCCAGAAACTATGCTGGCACACCTTTTCATTACTAAAGAGCACTTTTAGTTTAAATTAACTTTTCATAGGCATATGGGATCTCCATTGCATTTCTGAGCATCGGATCAGGGCCTAAATGACTAGCTTGATAAAAAAACATTTATGCTAATATTGCCCTTCCTAAGAGCAATCAACAAGCTTTATGCAAATGTCAGTAAATGGGATCACTAACAACAGCCATAGATACCAGATGGTTTTTCAATAGGCTTTTTTTTTTTTTTCCCCTTCTGTTTCTGCGATTTGAATAATGCAATGCTTTCACACGTGATTTAATATGGCACTGGCTCTATCAGACACATACCAATTTTGCTAGTGCACTAGGGATATTTTGCTTGCATTGACATTATTCTTCACTGAAACAGGATTTTGGGAATACCGTATTACCTTCAGATTGCTATTTCATATACTACCTTTAAAAAAAAAAAATATTTCATTTATATTCAACTTCAAAACTATGTGTTACAGAGAGATCTAAACAGGCTATTTTTCATGCAGCTTCTACCTGCTCACTGATAGTCCTAATCACGAGCCACAAAATGAGTCAAATGTTTAAGCCTCACTGTTAAAACTCTGCTTTGGAGTCATCATAAATGAATCATTTTATGTTGACATTTAGCCTTTAATTCTGAACTAAAGCACCTGTCAGAGGAAATGTAGTTGGCTGTATTGTGAATTGATGAAGCAAAAGGCTATTAACAACGAAAGGTTACACAGGTTTTGATACAGCCCAACCAGTTACAAATAAAGAGTTGCATTCTCATCCAAGATGCAAGTGGGAACAATGAATATATACAATCTATTCCATATGTCCAATCAATAGCAGGTCGCCGTTCTAACTTCAGCTACTACAGTCTATCAAGAATCAGCAACATGCTACCTTTCACTTTCAAGCAAACCTCATTTAAGGGCTGAAAGTAGTTGCATTGTCTCAGGAAAGACTTAAGGAATTAAATATCACAGAATAAATTTCTCTGCTCTCTACACCCTCCCTCAGGAATTGAGAGACTTTGTTCTATTGAATTTCACAGGACAGTGTGTTCTGGAGTCAGGAAACATCTGAATTTGGAAGATGAGGAGGAAAGGAGAAGGAAGAGGCCAGAATTTATTTATCCATTGGCCAAGATGGAAAAGAAAGAGTAGTCTTTCCCAGAACCTACTTTAATCTATGAAACAAGAAACCGGAACAACTACTCAAAAAGACTTTTTAAAAACAGTTATTTTCCTTTTATTTCTTCACAAACCCTCCTCTGAAAAGAAATTATCTTGCTCATAATATATTTAGCTCATAATGTTTTTCATAAATCAAAACACTTTACAATGACCAAATTGTGTGTATTTCTGTACAAATATCAATACTGTATGTTTTCATACCTAGCAACAACAGCCTATGTTAGAATTGTATATTTAGGAGAAAAAGAGACAAAACAGGTTAGCAATATTAACTTTGCATGTTACAGCAAAAAAGAAAAACTATTTATCATTTCTAATTTTTTTAATCACAATTATATTCCACTTATGTACTTCAATGTACATTCATCCTGACATGGCAACTTTTCCATATGTAACATTTATAAGGTGTCATCAAAAGTTTGTATTCATCTTAGCTCACTATAACATCAAAACCATTTTATTGTGTAAAGCTTCCAGTCTTCAAGGCTTGGAGTGTCATACTGGGACCAGATCACCTAGCAAATTTTGCTAGAGTCTGTCATGAGAAATGCAGGTTGACTTCTGACTCAACATTCTTTTTTGTTTGTTTTATTGTTGTTAAGAATAACATTCAGATTAAATCATCTCCTCAATTTAATGAGAAAAAGTTTTTTCAAAGAACATGTAGTACAATGCAAAATTCAGTCCTACTGAGTTCTGACAACAGGCTTTGTATTTTCTTCTATAAATACATATTGAACTTGTTGGGGGTTGTGTTTTTAGGATATGGCAATGATGCAGTACAACTTACATCTACCATCACGGATTTGAATGTAAAGCAATATGGAAACTTCAATTTGTGTAAGAATCCAAGATTTGAAAATTTAGAAAAAATGTTTAGAAATAGACCTAATTTTTAATTTTTCTTTAACAAATTATTTATACTTAGGATAAAACTACTGAACTTAGGCCTGGACATTTACCTGATAACAATATTCTTAAGAACAGACTTAATATTAAGGGGGGGGTGTGTTATCCTATGTTAATATAAAATGCACAAAATTACAACTACTTGCTCCTCTTTGAAGCACACACCTGATTAACTGCATATGAGACATTCATACAATAAAGCTATTTGTAGAGATGTACTTGAAGTAATTGGATGCTTAAAATTGAATTGGAGCCTTCTTGGTTCACTAGAATTTGGGGGCACTTGGCATTTTTCAGGAAAAAGTCTGTAGATAATGTTTTCTCACTCCAAAAGGGTTGCTCACAATGCTCAGAAAAATTTATTTCAGATTTTAAGTATTTAAAGATACAACTTTTAGATAGGGGCAGTGGGAGCAAAGATGACAACATAATTTGTAAGCAGTTACCATCACAGTCTTCCAGGAGAGATCTTTAAAGTAGTTCTTTGATGTCAGCCACAAACTTGTACAGTATCATTGCATAGGGTTTTATTGAACAGACATTTTTTCAGGTAGGTAAACTAGGTGAGTCTTAGTTGCTCATTAAAAAAAAATAAATATGCAAAAGGTTACCTTTTTTGGATGCTTCAAAACTGTCATAGAGATTTATCTTTTGGGTGTCATATGTTAATGTGGTGTTTGGCAGAAGAGTTCTATTTCTGTTGATTGTGTTCACAGCAAATCTGAAGGCTAATTCTTCTGCTCCCATTGGGCCAGATTCCACACACTCAAAAATGCCTCCTGTTAGTGAAAGAAGAAAGGAAAACACAAACTTAATAAACTTCATAGAGTGTAACTTATGAAATTATCTCATTATTTTGGTAAGGTCTGAGACAAACCATAAATAACCCACCAACAAATCAAGCTAACTTCAATGAAAACCTGTGTATTTACTTATAGACTCTCCCTTTCTGACATTATTAAATATGAAAAGGCTTTTCAGTTTTGTAATTCAACAACCTCTTCCAACCCACTTCCCACTATAGGGTGGAGGTGTTAACTTTTTTCCTGCAGATGAACTCTCCAATGGTTGCTGAGAGCCCTAGGGGCAGATGTTCAAATAATATTAGTTTAAAAGCACAAGAACTAACTACTGAGATGAGATGTGACTAATAATTATTTAAACATTAATCATTTAAAACTGAGAATGAGACACTGATGGGGAAGGCATTTGCTTAAGCAAAAAATAGATATCTAGGGAAACGGTCCAAACTGATTGAGCATAGAATGTATATGTAACCAATTTTAACAATACTCTAGAAGCTAAAGCAAAAGAGGCTTGGATAACATTTAGATAAATAAAGGCATAGTACACAAAAAATGAAAAAAAATACCATATTTGTTTTTACGATAATTCAATATTAATATGAAAGGCAACCATTGCTTTTGATATTAAGGAAGTACTCTGTTCAGAAAAACATAGTCTGACAGGACTGCTTAAGACTTACAGCATCTAAACATTATAGATCAAACTGTGACATAATAATAAGATCCTGTTTTGATTGGGGGAAATATTTAAAAATTGCTGCAGAAAACTAAAAGCTAGTAAATAAATAAAAAGTATAGCTAGTCAGGGACAAGAAAAATAAAAAGACATTTCCATGAACATAATTAAAATTAAAGTAGATTTTACAGACTTTTCTAAGGCATCCAGAAAGCAGTTGTTCAAATATATGAATAACCCAGTATCACACAAACAGATATTAAAAAAAAAGTATATATATATACCCTAAGTTACAATGGATCCATAAAGAAAAATAACATTACAATATCTCTTCTAACTGAATTATTTACTCTGGAAGATTTCTTATTTAAATGTGTTTGAAGGTAAATATCTTCCTTCTTTATTTCTGTATTTTTCATTCTGCTTATTTCTAAATTCTTGAGATGGGGAATTCCCTCTCAAAGATGCAGCCATGACTCTCAGCATAAGATAAAATAAATATGCATTTTGACCTCTCATATCTGGGTAATTCCTAATAGTAGTGACAGTCCATCACATAGTAAGCCAGTTTTATGAAGATGACAAAGTCTCTACCTGTGGTGAGTGGCAACAACATGAAATTTCCCATGTGCACCATTCAGTAGTTTGTTCCCTCACTCACACATTCTCTGTTCCTGTGATAAATGTATCCCCAGGAAAGCTAGCAGCATATGGTCTGTCTGCTTCAGGGTAAATTTGTATTCCCAAGGAAAACAGGTAGAATAACCTGTTTCTGTTGTCCTATGATTAGAATATTTTGCTAGAAGGTAGGAAAACACAGCTTCTAATACCTGAATATTTTCACATTTTACATTGGATAGACACTGAATTAAAAATAAAAACCCTAGAGGAATCTAAATTAGACCATATACTTGCAGTTTCCTGGCTGTTTTCTGCCTAGAGGTTGTCAAACTTCCACTAGCCACCTTTCATTTCAGCTTTATGCTACTTCCATAATTGTCTGCTCAAGCAGCAGGGGAGGAACATCACACAATTCAGTATTTTGGAATCTAGCAGGTGTAGGTTCATCCTAATCTTCACACCAAGAAGAGACTCCAATCAAGAGGCTCTCAAAGTGGCCCGCGTCCTGCTAATGTGCAAAATGGCTGAAAGTGCCAGGCTCCTTTGTAATGAGTAATAGCTGCTAGCTTTGGCCAAACTAATACTACACACAGGGCATCACCATTTTTCAACTAAACTTTCAAGTGATTTACATTGAACCAACACACTAAGAGCAAGAGCTTAAGCAGACAGATGCCTGCATTCTTCATATCAGAAAGTAGTCACAATGCAGCTTCTCATTCTCCAGGTGCGAGCCCTTTGAAGTGTGCTTGGAAGTCTATGCTTCAGACACTTTCAGGTTGCTCAGCAAAGGCATGTAAATGAGTTCAGACTGACAGGAATGGGAAGCCTTAAAGAGTGCTTTCTCTAGTGCTGTATAAGATGTAAGCAGAAACTTATTTGGAAACTTTAAACTGCCTAGGTCTTACTGTTACGTTCTTATGTTTGTTACTGAATATGTAAATAATAGCAAAAGAAATACTTTTAGTATTTCTAAAGAAAATGTGGGTTTTGGGGTTGTTTTTTTGTATATTTATATATATAAAATGGAAAAGAAATTAATGAAAGGGATTGGCTTTCCATTTCTGGTATACTCAAGTATAAAAAGATAGAGGTTTCCTGAGGCTTTCATAGCATACCAAGTCATGTTGTTCCCTCCCAGGCAGACTGTTCTCTACTGCTGTTGAGCCTCGTATTCATGAAAGCCATCTTAATAGTCAAATTGAGGAATGCACTGCCTGCTCTCAGATAAGCAGACAGAAAAGTCATAAATCTTGACATTGATATGTGAACAAGCAGCAAAGCCAACTACTATCTCTGTCTAACAGCTTGAAAAATGCAGGTGTTGGGGTTTGTCAACACCATTTATAGACCCATAATAGGCAAAACCATCAGTTGTCTTACACAACTAACAGCACATCCTAGAGGAAATGGATGTATTTTCACTGCCACCTGAAAACAGAGACAAAAAAACTTAAAAGGAGTAAATGTATATTTAATACTTAGTTTGCTTTAATGGTCTCATATATGACTTCTTCATTTACAGTGTTAATAATATGAAAGTTCATCTCTGCCCTAAACAGCAATGTTAGGGAACATGGCATTATGTAGCTACAGCTCAATCTGTAGCTCATGAAGTTTTATTGACTGCATACAGTAGGTGACTGCTGTATAGCTGAACACTTCAAGTCTTTATTGTCACAATAACTACTTCACAAAAAGCTCACTAGATTTTAGTAGTGATCAATATCTGAATCACAGTGATGGGGAATTTTTAAGACAGGCTAGTCCAAGCTAGATATGCATGAACAACTGTAAACCAATCTTTAAATACTGTATCTTTTGCAGGGACATCCAGGATCCAGATCCCCTATTAATCTTGATATAACAGAATTGCTTTTACTGGATCTCAAATCCACTAGGATTTTTCATCAGTTGTCACATGGAAAAAACTTTCATATAATAAGTTCTTATATGAAAAATCATGGCAGTCAGGTGAAGTTCCCAGCATCTGGAAAAAAGGAAATATAACACCCCTTTTCAGAAACGGAAAATGGAAGACCCAGGAAACTACAGACCAATCAGTCTCACCTCTGTGCCTGGCAGGATCATGGAGCAGACTCTCCTGGAAACCAGGCTAAGGTACATGTAAAATAATGGGGTGGCTGGTGACAGCAAACATGGCTTCACTAAGGGCAAATCATGCCTGACGAATTTGGTGCCTTCTGTGATGGGGTTACAGAACTGATGGACAGGGGCAAAGCAGCTGACATCGTCTACCTGGACTTGTGCAAAGCGTTTGACACTGTCTCACATGACATCCTTGTCTCTACACTGGAAAGACATAAATTTGATGAATGGACCACTCAGTGGATAAAGAACTGGCTGAATGGCTGCATGCAGAGTTGCAGTCGAGGGCTCAATGTCCAACTAGAGAACAGTAATGAGTGGTGTCCCTCAGTGGTAGGTGTTGGGACTGATCCTGTTCAACATCTTTGTCAGCAACATGGACAGTGGGATTGAGTGCGCCCTCAGCAAGTTTGCCGATGACACCAAGCTGTGTGGTTCGGTTGATAACGCTGGAGGGAAGGAATGCCATCCAGAGGGACCTTGACAAGCTTGTGAGGTGGGCTGAAGCCAGCCTCATGAAGTTTAACCATGACAAGTGCAGGGTCCTACACCTGGGTCAGAGCAACCCCAGGCACAGCTAAAGGTTGGGCAGAGAAGAGATTCAGAGCAGCCCTGTGGAGAAGGACTTCAGGGTGTTGGTCAATGAGAAACTGAACATGAGCCTGCTTCAGTGTGCACTCACAGCCCAGAAAGCCAACCGTATCCTGGGCTGCATCAAAAGTAGTGTGACCAGCAGGTTGAAGGAGGTGATCCTGCCCCTCTACTCTGCTCTCATGAGACCCCACTTGGAGTTCTGTGTGCACTTCTGTTGTCCTCAACATAAGAAGGATCTGAAGGAAGTCCAGAGGAAGGCCATAAGTATGGTAAGGGAGCTAGAGAATCTCCTATACAAAGGCTGAGAAAATCGGGGCTCTTCAGCCTGCAGAAAGGAAGGCTGCGTGGAGACCTCATGGCAGCCTTCCAGTATCTGAAGGGGGCCTACAAGGATGCTGGAGAGGGACTCTTCATTAGGGACTGTGGAGACAGGAAAAGGGTTAAATGGTTCAAACTAAAATAAGGGAAGTTCAAGTTAGATACAAGGAAGAAGTTTGTTACTGTGAGGATGGAGAGGCACTGGAATGGGTTGCCCAAAGAAGTGGTAAATGCTTCATCTCTGGCAGTGTTCAAGGCCAGGTTGGATAGAGCTATGGGGGTGACATGGTCTAGGGCTAGGTGTCCCTGCCCATGGCAGGGGAGTTGGAATTAGATGATCTTAAGGTCCTTCGCAACCCTAACTATTCTACTATTCTATGATTATTTCCCATAAGCAATAGGGAAAATACAGTCATCAATGTAATACTGATGCAGTAACAGTTTCTTTGGAAACAGAAACCACTGAAAATAACCCAGTAATATTTTATCTAAAAAAAATACAACATTTAGTACATTAGTCTAAGCAATGTAGACATTATTCCCCAAAGAAAAGGAAAACCTGAAATTATAAAAAAAAAAGTAAAAAATAATTTGTTCTGAGATTGTTCAAATTAAAAAGCCTGCATTTTCCACTTAAAAAAAAAAAAAAAATTGA